GGACTAGGTAGTAACCAAAAATCCAGGCCTGGAAGCCCAAGTGTCTGTATTCAAAAACTGAATGTTCCTCAAACTTGAGTTATCTCATGACTCCTCTGTACAATAGGATAAGCAGCAGAACCAAAATTAAACCAGGCTGAGAATGGTGGTGCATGCCTGCAATCCCAGATACTCAAGAGGCAGCAATCTGAAGGATTGCAACTCAAGGTCAGCCTGGAAAAACTATTAGTGAGACACTCAACCAATCAGCTGGTCATGTCACATGCCTGTGGCCCCAGCTACAAGGAAGAAGCACATGGTTCAGGTCTGTCTGAGCAAAAACTTGAGACCCTCTCAAAAAATAAGTAGAAATAAGAAAGCTTGGGGACTAAGCTCAAGTGATAGAATATTGCTTATTGCATGCATGAGGCCCTGGGTTCAATTCCTCAGCACCACATAAGCAAAAAGAAAAAGCCAGAAGTGGCACTGTGGCTCAAGTGGTAGAGCGCTAGCCTTGAGCTGAAGAGCTGAGGGACAGCACCCAGGCCCAGAGTTTAGGCCCCACGACCGGACCCCCCCAAAAAAGTAGAAGGCCCTAATTTCATGTTCCAGTACTGCCAAAGTAATTTCAGTTCCCCAGCATATCATGAAAAATTCTCAAGATTCTAATAATTTATTTAAATTCCTTTTTGTCTCAAATATATTAAGGAAACTATTGACTGAGACCAAACTATTGTCTGTAATAAGATAGGGTAGTACTGTCTTATCCAGTAGAGAAATACCTACAAGGCATTCAGGAATTTTTATACAACCTCATTTCAATTATTCTCTCCTACCAGAATCCAGTTGTGTAAATGGGCAATTTTAAATGAGTCCCTCTGAAGAACATTACCTGAATCTTCTAAGATAGAAGAGGCAGGAAGAAGTCTGTCTCCACAGCTGCCCTACTACTCAGCCTTAGTTCACTCAGGTCTACAGTCTTTAAGGGAAGTAACTACAGTTCATTCTTGAAATAGGGAGACTTTGGCAGAACAACAAACTGCACTCAAGGTGTTATAAATTTGGTTCTGGCAGGGCATACAATCCATTTATTACATTTTTTTCAAGCATCAGACTCCATGGAATATTAACTGCCTTTTCACTATTACTATTCAGCAAAAAAGACCATAGAAGGAATCCTAAAATCATCAGATGATAGAAAGCACAAGTGCTTTCTGAGCCATGAAAAACATTCTTATTTTAGATGTATAGGTATACAAATTATAACCTTTTAAAGGTTACTAATGAAGGAATCTTATGCCAAAATAGTTGACATCCCTTCCAAAAACTATCTCTGGATACTTATTTGTGTACATAATATACTCCTTGTCTCATTTTGTTTATGTAAAGTTGTTTCAAGGAAGCTCATGCCTGTAATTCTACTCAGGAAGCTGAGATATGAGAATCAAGGTTCAAAGCCACCCTGGACAGCAAAATGCTAGAAGTAGAGCTGTGGCTTAAATGATAAAAGAACTAACTTTGAGTGAAAAAGCAAAGGGACAGTACCCAGGGCAGGCAACTTAGTTCAAGCCCCATAACTGGCATTAAAGAAAAAGTTCTAAGTATACCAGGGATTTCAAGCAGAACTCCCAAAACACAAGTTCCTATCAGTCTTGACTAAAACCATGGCTTTTTATGACTTTCATGATGGGCATGAAGGTGGATGTATGCAATCCCAACATTGGTGAGGAGGCTGAGGCAGGTCTGTTGGAAGTTGAAGGCTTGCTGAGACAAGGAAGGTTTGAGGCCAACCTGGGCCACATGGAGACCCTCTATCAAATAATGCTATTATAATGTTATTATGTTATTATAATGTTATTATAAAATTGCCTAAGATATTTGGCAATTCATTCATTGAATTCATCTTAAAAAAAAAAAAAAGCTCCAGGGGCCTGTGGCTCACACCTGTAATCCTAGCTACTCTGGAGGCTGAGATCTGAGGGTCATAATTCAAGGCCAGCCCGGGCAGGAAAAGTCTGTGAGACTCTTACCTCCAATAAACCACTCAGAAAACCAGAAGTGGTACAGTGGCTCAAGTGGTAGAGATGAAGAGCTCAGGGACAGAGCCCAGGCCCAGAGTTCAAGCCCCATGACCAACTAAAAAAAAAAAACAACACAGCAACCCACACTATGTTTTAATACTGGCCTCTTTCATATTCTAATGTGGTTGCCAGACAGAATAACTTCCACTCTGCAAAGATCTTGACAGTTTGTAAATCATTTCACCTCCACATTTTCATTTGGTCTTCATGAATCTACAGTTAGAAGTTAGGGAATTTTCCTTAAAATGCTTAAGTTAACCACACTACATGAAACCAAAAACCATATCCTATTCTTACATTCCTCTACATGTAAGTACATTCCACCGGAACGGAAAAGCCAAAGCCCAGAGTTCTAGTCCCTTGCTGTGTGACCTACAAATTAACTTCCCCAGACCCCACTTTTATATCTACAAAATGATGTACTGGTGGATCCTCTCAGACGTGCTAAGCTGCACAATACTTTATTGGCTTCCAAAGTCTACTGCTGGAATGCTGGTGCTGCCTTTCTGCTTAGCAAAAAAATCCTTTCATCCTTTGGTAGTGTAGTCATTCACTGCATGTCTCTAAAATCCCAATTACCAAAAATGATTCCTTCAGTCCCCCAAATCACTATGGCCTTATTTCTACTTCCGGTGGACCAGTAGCTGCTTCTTCTCATGAGAGTTGTATTCCCTACATTTTATAACGCTATGAACATTTTACCATAGAAATTAATATAGGGAATACTACTTTTACTTGTATTACATTTAAGTAGCTACCTGCAAAAAGTTATGAAAAGTTTGGAGCACGAGCAGAAATAAGATGAAATACTACCTCACTGAATTTTCTAATACTATATATATAATAGCATAGAGCAATGTCTACCATGAACCTCCTACAAGAACCATCTGCCCCCCTCAGTCTTGACTTCTCTAGCCAAAGCTTCCTAGTCACCAAATGGGGGCAATATAACATAAGTCTGAAATTCTACTTGCTCAGCCACCTAGAATTTGGTTGTAGGCAAATAGACAACTCTGTGAGCCTCAGTTTTCCTACCTCTGAAATGGGGACAACAGGAACTACTTCAAAGTATTGTTGTGAGAATCAAATGAGAGCTTGGAGTACTCTCCAGGAAAAAAAGCTAAGAAGCAAGTTCCTTAATTTGCTTTTCAAAGTCCTCCATGAACTATTCAATATCTAACTATCAATCTGGAGAATACTCCATTTTCTGGGAACACATCTGCCTCTCTCGATCATTCCCTGTGATCATCCCAGTGGCTGGGAATTCTAAGCATCATTCAGGATCTTCCTAAAGGCTCTGTAGAGAGCTTCGAATTTTTCCTCTTCATCCCTATCCAAGGCCCTTACAGGCCAAATTAATTATAAATTCTTTCTGCGATTTTTTGAGGGGGGGGGAGGCTCTGACCCCCACAGTTAAGCAATTTCATTTTAACTGGGCCAAATCATAAATTTGCTGAGCGGGTGGAGAAGATAGCTAGCTTCGCATCCACACTTCCCGCTAACGCGTCGCTAGAAGCCGAGGACTCCCGTCTGGAAGCTTTCCGGGAAGAGAGGTCAAGCTGAAGGATCTTTTCCTCTGTTCCCACCTCCTTCACCCCTCAAAAGGCAGCTAACTCTCGAGAGGAGAACAAGGGCCGGATACCTGCCCAGAAAAGCCAGCCTACAAAGTTCTCTTAGCCCGGGCGCGCCAGGGGCCCGAGGGGGAGGCGCAGTCGAGGGAGCCTGGGCCTCCAGCGACGCGAGTTGCGGCGACAGGGCTCCGGCGGATACAAGAACGCAGGCGTCGCCCATCCCAAACTCGTTCAGTCAGGGGATTAACTGGAGACTCGACCCCAACAGGGAGGGAGACTCAAGTGGGCCCTCCACTCCCGAAACGCCACCCCAGGAGGAGGCTGGCCTCAGCGCTGTCGCCCACAGGAGAGCGTGGTACGTCCGGGCCTGCCCATTCGGAGCCCTCGCCGGCTCCGCCGCTGCCGGCCGTTTAGGCCCGGCTGCCCCACATGGCGGCCGCCGACCGCTAGGCCGCAGGCCCGGTTTCCCACACTGGGGTGGGTTAGGCTTCCTTCCCTCAGTCCTTAACCCTAGCTTTGGGCTCAGACTCTCACCTCGTCCCCGGACATGGTTGTGGTTTGAGAGGGTTCGGCACGGACGGGAAGTCAGACAGATCAGCTTTAGGCTCCGGCGGTGGCAGCGCGGCTCCGACCGATACCTCACTCAGCACCGCACTAGGCTCTTGCATCAGCGAAAGGAAACGACACCCCGCCCTCCTCCCTCCCGTTGGAAGTGCGCCTGCGCGGGGCTGGCTGGGGCGCAGGCGCGAGAAAGAGCCAACCTTGCGCGCTTCGTGTGGCGCGAGTTACCAGGAGACGGTACGGCGCTGTGCATGCTGGGACCTGTAGTTTTCCCGCGGAAGACGGGCGCTTGCGCAGCAGATGTCCGAAGGTTGTGAACGACGACCAGGCTCGAACGAACCCCAGCTCGGTTCTTTTCGCTGGCAGTTACCTCAGCGTCTCCGAGAGATTGGAATTGCTTGTGGAGCGCTGTTCCGGGCTGCTTGAAGAGTAAATTTTGGGGCATTTCCTGGGTTCGGCCAATATGTCTTATTATGAACATGTGGGGCTGGTTTCTCACACGTCTGTGGACGTGTTACAGTTTGGGGGGAATCCAAAGCTGGAACTGAAGGAACGCGGTGCCCTGAGGAGATTGTTACTTAGTGAGACGTGCGCGTGCTGGCTTTCTACTCGGTCACTCGAAAATCAGAAGACGTCCCCCGGGGTAGATTAAGGAAAGGCGTCCTCTGAATCTTCATGTCATGAATCTGTCAGGAAGTCCCAAAATACAGTCATCCTTGCTTCATACTGAGGATATGTTTAGACGTGTGTGTCTAATTTCCTCGTTGTTGAATCTCGTCCATAAGCCTTAGACGGCTGGAGTGTCCTTGGGCGATATAACCTTATGGGACCACTATATGGTCAGTCTGTGGTTGACAAAAATTTGATTGTACTTGTTTCTAGAGCCTTTTCTTGACTGGTCTGATGTCTCATGCAAGTCCCTTTGGGGCAAACAACTACCATTTACAGACATTTCACTATTGTCCGTGCCCTCAAGTCAGAGATCTCTGCAACTACCCCTGCTGTTGGATGGATTGGGTTTATTGTCTCCTTGCAAGGAGGGAGGTAGGCCACAGCGGTGTCAGTCGGACATCTCAAGTAAAGCAGGTTCAGGATAGAATTTATAGTTTGGGCTTCTTAGGTAATTTGCAGGGAGGGTTCAAAGAAGCAGGGTGTCTCTGGATGAGATGCTACCAGGAGGTGAGAGTAATTTTATAAATTGGGCATTTGAATAATTTCTTACGTAAAAAAGGAGAGGAACCAAGTGAAACTAAAGCCATGATTGATGAAACAGCAAGTAATCCCTTGTATCCGACAAAATAGGGGAATATTAATCCATTTTTGGTGGTTGGGGCAATAATTTTGATTGTATTTATACATAATTCAAGAATGGTTTTGATGTTGGGTGCCGGTAGCTCACGCCTGTAATCCTAGCTACTCAGGAGGCTGAGATCTGAAGATCAGGGTTCAAAGCCAGCCCGAGCAGGAAAAGCTGTGAAACTCTTATCTCCAATAAACCACCAGAAAACCGGAAGTGGTGCTGTGGCTCAAGTGGTAGAGTGCTAGCCTTGAGCTGAAGAGCTGAGGGACAGTGCTCAGGCCCAGAGTTCAAGCCCCATGACCGACAAAAAAAAAAAAGTTTTTTTTTGGTCCATTGTGGTCACAGAGTGGTCTTGTCAATCTAGTGTTCAGCAAACGGCTCCCTAACAGAGTTCACTTTTCATTATACTGTATATTAATGTATTTTTCTGTTTTAGGCCTCAAAACAACTATGTGAAATAACCCACAAATATTTAGTGCTACAAATTAGATATCCATTCTTAGGGTATTTTGTAGAGTATTCTTGGGTATCTTATGGTATCCTTATGGATTCCTTTGCTATGAGGTCCTTGACTCCAGAGGAGTTTACAATTTAATTAAATGTATACTTTAGAAGCCCCTTTTTTCAGATGAGGAAATTGCTTGTATTACATTCAATGATTAGTCCAAAGTCAGATGCAGCCAATAAAAGAGGGGAACCTGGGAATCTAAAGAGCCAGTCAGTGGCTGCTTCTTTACCACCTGGAGACTCAGAATTACTAAGAAACCTGAGTTGCTGCCACACCAAACCACAGTGCATACTGGGGTTCTCAATAGCAGTATTATTAATATTTTGGACAAGATAATTCTGCTGTTGGATAGTATTCTGTGCATTTTAGGATACTTAGCAGTATCCCCGAACTTCAACCATAAATGACAGTAAGCACCTACACCCTGTCAGGTTCATTGCCAGATGGCCCTGGGTGGGATAAATTACCATGATTGAAAAAGACTGGTATACACCACTGTTAGTCTTTGAGACAAAACAAACATTTGCCACCTAAAATTCCACAAATCACTTTGAATGGGGAAGAATGTGAAGAGAAAAGGAAACAGTAAAGACTAAGTGTTTGAAAAGCCTATTGAGCTCAGAAGACTGGGAATAAAGAAAATTGAAATAAGCAAAGGGATAAGAGAAGTAATAGAGAAAAGGAGCTCATAGGAAATTAACTTTATATTACTTAGTTCACATTAGAAAAAGTCACTTAATTTCCACTAGTAAAAACACACAGAAAGTTTTAGAAGTAGAGGTGTGGTTCAAATGATAGAGCACCAAGCCCTGAGGGGCAGAAAAGCCATGAGTTAAAGCTGGCACCAAATTAAATAATGTTTTTATAAGATGTTATGGTGTCTCCATTCTTGGTTTAAAATTTGTTAGTCTACTTAGCAAATAGTCTTTATCACTTTTTAAAGAAACCACCTTTTTTTTTTTCTAGGATGGTATCAAGTATAATAACCTCCTGAACTGACTACTTTAAAGAAATCTTCCTTCAGAAAGTTCATGTTTCCAAGATTCCTTGATGAACTGGCCAGAATCATAAAGCAATGTTAGGTAAGCTTTTACAGATTTTTTCAAGAGAAAGGTCCACTTTGCATCATCACAAATACTTGTATTTTCATAAGTTCTTATAATTGTGAGAAAAAAAGTCTTTTCTATCAAGGAATATTGCTTAAAAGTTCTGCTTTGGCCTGGTGGGTTGGCTCTTGTTAAAGAAAAGAGGAATCAATTTGGGATAAAAAAGGATTTGTAAAATGTAAAGTTTTGTTTTAAACTGTTTTTTTTTTCATCAGTCCTGGGGCTTGAACTCTAGACCTGGGCGCTGTCCCTCAGCTCTTCAGCTCACTTGTCTATATGGTGCTGAGGAATCGAACCCAGGACCTCATGCATGCAAGGAAAGCACTCTACCTCTAAGCCACTTCCCAGCCCCATTAAAGAGTTTTCTTTACCAGATGGAATTAAGACATACCCCAGCTTGTTCAAGAAATAGCAGAGGGTGTAGGTATATTTTGGGATTACTTGTGAACTGTTAATCTTATTTCAAAATCACTTTATGTAACTACATTTTACCCTATTCAAACTAGCCAATCCTGAAGTTGACCAATCTGAGCAGTGGGGCAGAGCATGCTGTGTTAAGAATGTATACCTGATCAGGTTGCCTGCTCTGTGTGCTTGCTTACCAGTTTTTGGCTGATGGTGTACTCTTCTGTACAGAAGTAAAATTTGCCTTGCTGAGACAATTCTTTTTCTTTTCTTTTTTCTTTCTTTTTTCCTTTCTTTTTTCTTTTCTTTTCTTTTTTTTTTTGCCAGTCCTGGGGCAAAACTCAAGACCAAGGCTATGTCCCTAAGCTTCTTTGTGCTCAAGGCTAGTGCTCTACCACTTGAGCCACAGCACCACTTCTGGCTTTTTCTGAGTAGTTTATTGGAGATAAGACTCTCACAGATGGGACTGGGATGGTGGCTCAGTAGTAGAGCGCTTGCCTTACATGCATGAGGCCCTGGGTTCAATTCCTCAGCACCACATAATCAGAAAAAATAAGCTGGAAGTGGTGCTGTGGCTCCAGTGGTAGAGCGCTAGCCTTAAGCTGAAGAGCTGAGGGACAGCGCCCAGGCCCAGAGTTCAGGCCCCATGACTGGCAAAACAAAAACAAAAAAAAAATAAACAAGACTCTCACAGACTTTTGTACGCTGGCTGGCTTTGAACCGCAGTCCTCAGATCTCAGCCTCCTGAGTAGCTAGTATTATAGGCATGAACCATGGGCAATGGGCTTGAGACAATTCCTTATGTTCATGTCTACCATTGTGACTCTAGTGGTTCTTGGATAACATTTATAGCATAATCTAGCAGTCTCTAAAAAGCATGTAAGATATTAATTTTTTATCATACTTGTGAGGGTAACGATTGTGATTTCAGAACAGTAGGCTCCATAAAAAATGAGAAATCTGGGAGCTTGTGGTTCAAGCCCACAAGCCTAGCTACCCAAGAAGCTGAGGTGTGAGGATTGTGGTTTGAAGCCACTGCAGCAGGAAAGTCCAGAAGATTCATCTCCAATTAACTACCTAAAAGTCAGAAATGGAGCTGTGGCTCAAGGATAGAGTGCTAGCCTTGAGTAAAAAACTCCAGGTGTAGTGCTTGAGATTATTTGTGGTTAGCTAACCCCCTTTTCTAATATCTTAGTTCTCTGTAACTCCAGTTCATTCTCCACCTACACCATAGAGTTTCCTGGAATAAAACCTAGTTGTGCTATTAATCTGTCTAAAAGTCAATTCTCTGTTACGTTCAGAATGATAGCTATCCATTCTCTCTCTCTCCAGCCTTCCCTGCTTATTGTTTTACTGCCTGTCTTTCTTATTATTCCTCATTTAATAATTCCTCACTTAATAATTCTAGCCACACTAAATCACTTAGTATTCAATGCACATGCTGTGCTATTTAATTTTGTCCATGCTATTCCCCCTGGATAGAATGTTTTTCCTTCTTTTTTCCATCTGATAAACTTCAGTCATTTTTTAAGATGTAGCCTAGATGATACCTTTTTGGAAAACTAAAACAAAAACCTTTGATTTCTTAGGCAGAAAAAACAACCCTATTCCTTCTCGTCATCCACCTATTACTCTATTATAGCCCTTTGAATTCCTTGAAGACAGGCTCTGTTTCTTATTCATCTTTCTTTGCTCCCCCAACATATTTATGAATGCAAAAACTCACATAAGATGACAGATACTTAGCACTAAAAACTAACTTGACAGCAGCCTTAAGATTCTTGACCTTAGTCTCCTTCTCAAGGGAAAATGAGAAACTTTCCAGCTGTATTCTGTTCGGATTAATTGAGTGTGAACATAGGAAAGAAATGTGTTTTACATATTCTTTAAATGATTCACAGTAAAAGAAGGTGATAACATTCTTCTTGACAGATTATTAGACTCTCAAGGAATGGTTCAGTCTACCTTGTACACACTCAGTATCTTCAATTGTCACCATCTTTCTCCCATGTCATTTCATTGAAGGACTCTGTAACCTCAGTACCTCATACAGTGCCTAATACTTATTTGGAAGTTGTCAAATGTTACTGAAAGACTGAACTAATAGGGGCTGGGAAGGTGGCTCAGTGGTAGAGCGCTTGCCTTGCATGCGTGAGGCCCTGGGTTGGATTCCTCAGCACCACATAAGCAAAAAGAAAAAAGCCAGAAGTGGTGCTATGGCCTTGAGCTGAAGAGCTGAGGGACAGTGCCCAGACCCAGAGTCAGAGTTCAGGCCCCACGACCGGACCCCAAAAAGAAAAAAAAAGAATGAACTAATAAGTAAAAATGTTAAAAAAAAAATCCCCCTCTTGGATCATTTAAACCTTTCCGTGTATTTTTAGGTGCCAATTTATCTTTACAGACTTTTCTGATCAACCCAGACTCTTACTATTTTACAATTTGCTGTTGTCATATAGTAATTACTGATATTACTGAGTAAGCATTTAGACTATGCTTTTTTGCATTATTATTATTGTTATTGTTATTATTATTATTATTATTTTGTGCTGGTCCTGGGGCTTGAACTCATGGCCAGAGCACTGTACCTGAGCTTTATGCTCAAGGCTAATGCTCTACCACTTGAGCCAGAGCTCTACTTCCTATATTTTTACTTTTAAATGCATTTGTCCTTTCTAGACAGATTATAAAAATCTTGGGAACAGAGAACATGTGTTAGTTAAAACAGTGCCTTCTAAAGTATCTTAAACCTAATAAGATCACTACTATAAATTGTTACCCAGGTTTGCATAGTATTTTGACACCTCAATAGATAACTTCAAATTCTTAATAAAATCACAGAGAGACACTATACTTATTAAAATGACAAGTGTAGGTGAGAATGTAAAGAAAGTGGAACACTTGTACACTGTTGGTAGGAATGTAATATAGCATGGCCACTATGGAAATCTATATGGTATTCTTCACAGGTTTAAAACAAGAATTAGCCCATTCTACTTTTTAGCATATGTTCAAGAGAATTATAAGTAGGTTTTTAAAGACATATCTGTATACCTCAGTTTATATCAACATTATTCACAATAGTCAAGAGGAAGAAGCTATCCACCACTAGACAAATAGATAAGCTAATGTGGTATATACATAGAGTATCATTCAACTTTGGAAAGGAAGGAAATTATGATATATATTACAACATGGATAAACCGTAAGGCCATTTTCCTATGTGAAATAAGCCAAACATAAAAATACAAATACTTGGGCTGGGGAGGTGGCTCAGTGGTAGAGCGCTTGCCTTACATGCCTGAGGCCTGGGTTTGAGTTCTCAGCACCACATAAGCAAAAAGAAAAAAAAAGCCGGAAGTGGCACTGTGGCTCAAGTGGTAGAGCGCTAGCCTTGAGCTGAAGAGCTGAGGGAC